TCTGAGCTGTGGGACCAGAAGGAAAACGGCTTTTGCTGCCTGCTGCGACGCATTGGGACCCCGAGGAGTTGAAAGAACATTCAAGTCGAATGTTTAAGGATGTCGAAGCCTTTTGTAAGGCATGAGAGTTTCCCAGCAAAGGCTGGGAGCAGCTACGGGGGGTTTGTTGGCCTTTGGGCTGTACAGTTTCTGTACCAACCCGAGACCCGCAAGCGGTAACAGTTGCCAAGTCCCTAATGAAGTACTGGATCCAGCTATATGGGGTCCTGGCTCTGACCAGGGTCCAGTGGTTTTACAGGATGACAAAGAGTTGAACGCTGCCATATCGCGCCCAAAGTAACAGGCAGAGCGAGCGTTTTGATCCTCACTCCCCCTCCCTGTCTATTTTGGCCTTTACTGAGTTATAAACCTTTTCTGTGCTGTAACAGGTTTGCAAAGTGAAAAAGCCCAAAGAGAGTTCCCATCTCTGCTCTGAACTGAAAACAGCTCGTTTGTGAAAATTCGCCTAACTCGCCTCTTCTAGAGAGTTCATTCAAAGGAATTACAAATGAAAGAGAAATAAAAATCTCACAGCTGGCTGACGACACAACCCTGTTTCTAAAAAATGAATCCCAAATAGGAGTTGCACTAAATGTTCTGAAAGCTCAGGCTTGAATCTAAATCTATCAGAATTTAGTAACTTATCTTGGAATAAAAATCAGTCATAATCTGATGACCGAGAGTAAACTCTCTTTACTACACGACTCTATTAATAAGAAGTTTGATTCTTGGCTTGCAAGAGATAAATCTACGTATGGCAGAGTTCTTCTTTCTAAAGCAGAAGGTCTCTCACAAGCAGCATATTCATTTACATCAGTAGAAATACCTAAGTTACGATGTGCCAACTTTATAAAATCAGGAAAGACATCGTGACTAATAAAACTGAGGGGGGGGGGTGTATGGGTAATTCTCACTTTTCAAGGAGATATTAAAAATCAACTGGATTAAAAGATTTTTGAAAAATCAGTTTGTGGAACATTGTTCTAAACTTTATCTCTGAAAAACTTGCTTCAGGGCCCAAACGCCAGTCAAACGGTCTAACTTCCATAAACAGGCTCTAACTTGTTGGTCACTTTTGTACAAACACAATTTCTCCCCTCACAAATAATATTTTTATCTGGATCAACATGAACATCTTACTTAGAAACGAGACTCTCTTTATACTGGTTTAAAAATGACATTCTGCTGGTGTCCCAATTATTAAATAACTCAAATCAAATTTTAACTTATGACGACTTCACTCATAAATTTAACTTCCATCCTCCAAGAAAGAATCTGATGTTGTAAGCAGAACTATACCCCATGGGATCATCACCCCACTTAGAGATGAGAAGGATCTGGATTAAATTAATGTATTTTTCTCCAGCAATCTTTTCTAGACAGAAAAGTCAACAACAAAGTAATTAAAAACCTTTTATGTGCAAAATCAATCTAACGAGATTATTTAGAAATTCATCCCTACTGTAGATGAAAAATGCAGCTTCTGCTCTCTGGAAACAGAAATTTATTCTATAGCTCTTCTCTGTTTAATGATAATCAATGTTTATTAATGGACATTTGGCTCAAACATACACTTATCTAATTTTGACATCTCCTTTTATTTTTCTGATTCAAACTCATCTGTACAATATGTAGTCAATTATTACTTTTGCTTGGAATTTTTATTCATAAATCAAAAATGACAAACAAAACCTCTTGTCAATGTTTTAAACTTGACTTTATAAATTATATAGTCTGTATATTAGAGGCTAAATCAGCATCAAAATGTTTGCAACATTTATCTAATTTAACTTTATAATTAAATTAACTGATATTTATAGTTTGAGACTATGTGGTTTTTTGTTTGTTTTTCTTTATGGAAACGTGAACTGTGACTAAATGATTTTTGTATTACAAGTTCAATTTCTTTTTCCAGCAAGTTGTAACAAATATGATCTGCAATTTAAAAAAAAAGAAGATAAAATATCATCACAGAGTTCGGTCTAGACCTGCTCTTTTATGAAAAGCGCTGTGAGATAACTGTTGTGATTTGGTGCTATATAAATAAAACTGAATTGAATTAAAAATAAATAATAATTCTGAGTTCCTAAAAAAACAAAAAAAACTAAACAAAACAGCTCGTTTGTAGTCCAGCCGCTTCCCTTTCATCCCTGTGACGTCACAGGGATGAAAGCTAAACGCGCCTCATATAACGCTCGCCGAGCGGCGACTCCGACACGCCCTCAGAAACAGTGAGCTGCAGCACACAGCTCTCCTCTCCCTTCCAAACACTAGCTACCCTCCAGGCAGTCAGTGGACAGAAAGTTGTTCCTGTGATGTAGAGACAGAGCTCAGTTAAAACTTTATGGATACAGATTAATAACTCACCGCTCTGAAACTCTCGCTCCAGTCCGTGTTGCCGAGCCGGTCGGCAACACGTACGGCTGAACCCGAGCCGTTTACCGGCTTCTCGCCGACCCGCCCTTCTCTGCTTCTGATTGGCTAGTAGTCCTTAACTAGGAACTGAGCATGTGCAACTCCCAACAAAGATCATTTAGAGACAAGATGTATCACTCCATAGCTAAAACGAAGCCTTCAACACAGGCTGAAAAGAGGAGCTGCAGCAATGTGCAGTAGGACAAAAATATAACCATGGAAACCTGCTCTGGTAGAACCTCTAAATAAGATGAGGAACCTTGAAATGAGCAGAATAACACCTCTTTAAAAAAGAGTTTATTATTATTTAATAACGCCTCTTGATCTTCTGCTCACCCTGAGCAGAGGAGGAGGTGGGTTTGCCTCTAACACATGGAACATCAGAGCGCTTGCTACTGCCCACACTTCATGTTCAGGAGAACCCCTGTGGTTCTGCTAGATATCCGGCTGGGGCAGGATATGGATGATTTCCAGGAGGAGGAGCATGAACGGGTCGGGAGGAGTCCAGGCTGTACTTTCTCTCAGGCAGCTGAAGCTCGAAGGAGGAACACAGGACCACCGGTTGGTGAACTGGTCTACATTCAGAACCGTCAGTTCTCCGTGAGGCGGCATAAAACCAAACATGTGTGGCTCTCTAACCTACACCGTCCTATTTCTCAAGCCTCAACTCATTCGGAATAAGTTGCAGATCTGTGGGCCCAGTGGGCCGAGAGCCTGAGTAGTAGGGAAAGGGGCCGCCTGAGCGTGATGGACAGGATCTTCAGGCTGGCGGTTTGGGTAGTTGGAGCTCGAGCTAGGCTGGATGGAGGGCAGAAAGTGGGATCAACTCATCTTCTGCCTTTGCTTTGTAGCTTGACCTGGACTACAGCCGGTGTTCGTTCCAACCTGTATGGGTTGGAGCAGGCCTGGGACACTGACCGGGTGCCGGGGGCGTGGGTGTAGCAGGGTAGAACTGACGCTGCGGGGCAGTTGGTAAGGCTGGACCGGAGGAGCCGCTGCCAGAGAGGCGGCGTGGTGGACTGCCGTTACAGGTACATGTATGCTGTTATGTACAATGAACGCTACACGTGTGTTTGTGGAGCTTTTTGGAGCTCGCGTGCTGGTAGTTGGGGAAACCCAGCTACCTGATGCTGGAAGGTGTAGTTAGAGATAATTATATTTGCCTTGGTGCTTTTCTCTCTTTGTTTTTGTTCTGATCTGGTTTAGTGCCCACCCTGGGTGCGATGAACTGCCCTTCCTATACTGATCCCGAGCTGCCCTCGCGCTGGGTTAACGTGCAGCTGCCTGGTGTTTAACCTGACATGTCAACTAACCCGTCTGCTTCACATTCAGACCAGATATTTGTTTGTTAATAAAGATTTAGACCAGCTGATTGTGTTTTTAGACAAACAGACCTGTTCTGCTAAATTATCAAGGAAACAGGAGGCACTGATCACCTGCCATACACACGGACAGGAACGGGCTTTAACACCTCCTGTTTCACCAGCGTCTCTCTCTCTGTCACGCACACACGCGCGCGCGCACACACACACACACACACACACACACACATTATAACACACACACCCGCCGTGCAGCAGCAGAGCTCCGTCAGAAAACAGAAAACGGTCGCAGATCTGCGTTATTTCAGGGAGAACGGAGCCTAAATCGGGACTCACGGAACCAGAACCGGTACTAATACCTAGCCGCTGTAACCCGGGACAACCAGGCAGGTGTGTCCGGTGTAACGGCACCGTTAGCGGGTCCGGTTCTGCTGCTGCTGGAGGATCAAACGTGACAGGAATCAAAGCGGATCGATGGTCTGAGGTGAGACCGACTGCTTTCTATTCTACTGTGTTTCTACTGTGCGCGTGAGCGTGCGTGTTCCGCAGAGCTGCGTCCTCTGACTCATTAATTCAGCAGATCAGCTGAAGCCGCACCAGAACCGACAGACAATGAAACAGGGAGCGGACCCGGTATATCCGGTCCACACGGAGCCGGGCCGCAGCGCGCGAGAGGGGGACTGGAGTCTGTCTGTCTGATGGTCCGCTGGTCTGTCCGACTGTCTGTCTGTCTCAGCCTGTCGCTAAAACGTTACCGTTCTGGTCTGTGATTGGTCGGATCTTAATTGGCAGCAGGAGCTGAGGTGTGTTTGTGGTTGATTTTCAGGTGTCTTCCCACGTGACTGCAGCTGCTGATGGATCTCCTGCAGGACTGGATGCCCCCCCCACACCTTCTGTTGTGCAGCCTGTCTTTATGTTGTGTTCATACCTGTTTCTGTCCAGGTGGAAACAAGACATGATGAAGAGAATCCTGCAGCTGATAGAAACACTCACTTATATAAACATAAACACACACTGACACATCTGATCCACGCCCAACCAATCAGCATCCAGCTGCCAGGAAGGTGGAAACACAAAGAATTCGTCCATCAGACTGATTAACCATCAGATGTCACATGTTCGTATCAGAGACAGACACAGATCCAGAGGCTCTTCGTCAGCTGCTAGTTACGCACAATCACTGACAGACACTGACCTGATCACGTGTGTGTGTGTTGCAGGTTGGTCAGGATGATGATGAACTCTGAGAAGATGAAGAAGAAACCTCCAAAGGACAGTCTGACTCTGCTGCCATGTTTCTACTTTGTGGAGGTGAGACCGTAGAGCGGGGCCGGTCCTGCCGCACACAGGACCTTACTGCTGCACCGCGCCGCTGCAGTCAGCCCACTAAAGCCTCACCTGTGAAAAACACCTTTATACTCTATATACTGCACTAAAAGTATCCCACAATGCATTGTGAAAAGTCACTAACAGAGTACTGATAGAACAGCGGTCGCTGACGTGGTGAAACGTAACGTCTGTGTGTTGTGTGTGCAGCTGCCCATCGTGGCTTCTTCTATGGTGTCTCTGTACTTCCTGGAGCTGACCGACGTGGTCCAGCCGGCCCAGGTGGGGTTCCGCTGCCGCGACAGGGAGCTCAGCATGCCGTACGTGGACGGAGGAGACGAGCTGATCCCGCTGCTGATGCTGCTGAGCCTGGCGTTTGCCGGACCCGCTGCCTCGGTACGTGCTTGCATCCCTTCAGAGGGCGCCGCGTAGACTCGCGTTCATTCCCCTGACCTGACCCCTCCCTTCTAAAAGCGGGCTGACCCTGAGGCCACGCTGAGGCCTCCCAGCACCTTTAAAGATTTTAGTTTTTTAGATTTTATTTAGCAGAGCTGCAGGTTTCTGGCAGTTTGTTCCAGATATACGAAACATAAAAACTGATTCTCCAGGTTTGATCTGGACTCTGGGGACAGATAGCAGACCTGATCCCAGACCGACTGAGTGGTCTGGATGGCACCTTTACGATCCAGTGTCAGTCAGAAACAGAAAGACTAGTGAAATCACCTCCCTCCTGACTGACTTTGATAAAACTGAACAGAATCAGGTTCGAACTGATTCAGTCATCAGTAACTGAAGCTGCTGAGTGTTTGTTACTGTCCTGATGCTCGAGGACAAAACAGTTGAACCATCCATCCACACATAAAGACCTCCATCCTTCCTGAACCAGGAGCTGTGAGGGTCTAAACAGAACCCCCGTCAGGTTCTAAGGGTGCGTTTGTTTTGTGCATCAGATCATGCTGGTTGAAGGTCTCGTCTACTGCCTGCAGTCCAGACTGAAGCTCCGCAGACCCGAAGGAAGCATCAACGCAGGAGGCTGCAACTTCAACTCCTTCCTGAGGAGGACGGTCCGCTTTGTGGGTACGCGACCGCCTACACCCTGCAGCACCACCCACTCCTGCACCTGCAACACCACCTACACCCTGCACCTGCACCTGCAACACCACCTACACCTGCACCTGCAACACAACCTACACCCTGCACCTGCACCTGCAACACCACCTACACCTGCATCTGCAACACCACCTACTGCAACACCACAACCACCTACACCTGCACCTGCAACACCACCTACACCTGCATCTGCAACACAACCTGCACCTGCACAACCACATACACCTGCGTCTGCAACAGCACCTACACCTGCACAACCACCTACACCTGCACCTGCAACACCACCTACACCTGCATCTGCAACACAACCTGCACCTGCACAACCACATACACCTGCGTCTGCAACACCACCTACACCTGCACCTGCAACACAACCTGCACCTGCACCTGCAACACCCCCTACTGCAACACCACCTACACCTGCATCTGCAACACAACCTACACCCTGCACCTGCACCTGCAACACCACCTACACCTGCACCTGCAACACCACCTACACCTGCATCTGCAACACAACCTGCACCTGCACCTGCAACACCCCCTACTGCAACACCACCTACACCTGCATCTGCAACACAACCTACACCTGCACAACCACCTACACCTGCTCCTGCAACACAACCTACACCTGCATCTGCAACACCACCTACTGCAACACCACCTGCACCTGCATCTGCAACACAACCTACACCTGCACAACCACCTACACCTGCACCTGCAACACAACCTACACCTGCATCTGCAACACCACCTACTGCAACACCACCTGCACCTGCATCTGCAACACAACCTACACCTGCACAACCACCTACACCTACACCTGCATCTGCAACACCACCTACTGCAACTGCACCTGCACCTGCAACACAACCTACACCTGCACAACCACCTGCATCTGCAACACCACCTACACCTGCACCTGCAACACCACCTACTGCAACACCACCTACACCTGCAGCACCACCCCACCACCTGTCTTTCTCTCCTGCAGGTGTGCATGTGTTTGGTCTGTGTGCGACGGCTCTGGTCACTGACATCATCCAGCTGTCGACAGGTTACCACGCCCCGTTCTTCCTCACCGTCTGTAAACCTAACTACACTCTTGCCGGAGTCTCCTGCGACAGAAACGCCTACATCACTAAAGACATCTGCTCGGGACATGACCAGCACGCCATCATGGCTGCCAGGTGAGTTATCTGTTGTATTTCTGTTGGACGGCGCGGTTTGTAACGACTGATGTTTAATGTGATATTGGATTAAAATGTTTCTTTCTTCTCTCCCAACAGGAAACATTCCCTTCCCAGCATGCAACTCTGTCTGCCTTCGCTGCTGTTTATGTTTCTGTAAGAAAACATCAAATTATTTTTCATAGATCATCTTTGTTTAAACAAACTTTAATTTAGATTTCACTTTGACAGAGATTGACCTGCAGGTTCTGTTGTTCCCTCATGTTTCTAAATCCAACACGGCAGAATAATTAAATTAAATAACTACAACAGTGCTGCGGAGGTGTGGTGTGTTTCCCATGTATGGTGCATTTCCCAGGTGTGGTGCATATTCCAGATGTGGTGCATTTCCCAGGTGTGATGCATTTCCCGGTGTGGTGCGTTTCCCAGGTGTGGTGCATATTCCAGATGTGGTGTGTTTCCCGGTGTGGTGCATATTCCAGATGTGGTGCGTTTCCCAGATGTGGTGCATATTCCAGGTGTGGTGCATTTCCTACGTTCTGTGCGTGTCCCAGGTGTGGTGCATATTCCTTATGTGGTGCATTTCCCAGGTGTGGTGCATATTCCTTATGTGGTGCGTTTCCCAGGTGTGGTGCATATTCCAGGTGTGGTGCATTTCCTACGTTCTGTACGTTTCCCATGTATGGTACATTTCCCGGTTATGTGGTGCATATTCCAGATGTGGTGCATATTCCAGGTGTGGTGCATTTCCCAGGTGTGGTGCATATTCCAGGTGTGGTGAATTTCCCGGGTGTGGTGCATATTCCAGATGTGGTGTGTTTCCTGGGTGTGGTGCATTTCCTACGTTCTGTGCGTTTCCCATGTATGGTGCATTTCCCAGGTGTGGTGCATATTCCAGGTGTGGTGCATTTCCCGGGTGTGGTGCATATTCCAGTTGTGGTGTGTTTCCGGTGTGTGGTGCATTTCCCAGGTGTGGTGCATATTCCAGATGTGGTGCATTTCCCATGTATGGTGCATTTCCCAGGTGTGGTGCATATTCCAGATGTGGTGCATTTCCCAGGTGTGGTGCATATTCCAGGTGTGGTGCATTTCCCAGGTGTGGTGCATATTCCAGATGTGGTGTGTTTCCCGGGTGTGGTGCATTTCCCGGGTGTGGTGCGTTTCCCAGGTATGGTGCGTTTCCCAGGTGTGTTGCATATTCCAGATGTGGTGCATTTCCCAGGTGTGGTGCATTTCCTACGTTCTGTGCGTTTCCCATGTATGGTGCATATTCCAGGTGTGGTGCATTTCCTACGTTCTGTGCGTTTCCCATGTATGGTGCGTTTCCCAGATGTGGTGCATATTCCAGATGTGGTGCATTTCCTGGGTGTGGTGCATATTTCAGATGTGGTGCATATTCCAGATGTGGTGCGTTTCCCAGGTGTGGTGCATATTCCAGGTGTGGTGCATTTCCCGGGTGTGGTGCATATTTCAGATGTGGTGTGTTTCCCGGGTGTGGTGCATATTCCAGATGTGGTGTGTTTCCCGGGTGTGGTGCATTTCCCGGGTGTGGTGCGTTTCCCAGGTATGGTGCGTTTCCCAGGTGTGTTGCATATTCCAGATGTGGTGTATTTCCTACATTCTGTGCGTTTCCCATGTATGGTGCATATTCCAGATGTGGTGCATATTCCAGATGTGGTGCATATTCCAGGTGTGGTGCATTTCCCGGGTGTGGTGCATATTCCAGATGTGGTGTGTTTCCCGGGTGTGGTGCATTTCCCAGGTGTGGTGCATATTCCAGATGTGGTGCATTTCCCAGGTGTGGTGCATATTCCAGGTGTGGTGCATTTCCCGGGTGTGGTGCATATTCCAGATGTGGTGCGTTTCCCGGGTGTGGTGCATTTCCCGGGTGTGGTGCGTTTCCCAGATATGGTGCGTTTCCCAGGTGTGTTGCATATTCCAGATGTGGTGCGTTTCCCATGTATGGTGCATATTCCAGATGTGGTGCGTTTCCCATGTATGGTGCATATTCCAGATGTCGTGCATTTCCCAGGTGTGGTGCATTTCCTACGTTCTGTGCATTTCCCGGGTGTGGTGCATATTCCAGATGTGGTGCATTTCCCAGGTGTGGTGCATATTCCAGATGTGGTGTGTTTCCCGGGTGTGGTGCATTTCCCGGGTGTGGTGCGTTTCCCAGATGTGGTGCATTTCCCAGGTGTGGTGCATTTCCTAGATATGGTGTGTTTCCCGGCTGTGGTGCGTTTCCCAGGTATGATGTGTGGTGCATTTCCCAGGTGTGGTGCATATTCCAGATGTGGTGTGTTTCCCAGTTGTGGTGCATTTCCCGGGTGTGGCGCGTTTCCCGGGTGTGGTGCGTTTCCCAGATATGGTGTGTTTCCCGGGTGTGGTTTGTTTCCCGGCTGTGGTGCGTTTCCCAGGTATGATGTGTGGTGCATTTCCCAGGTGTGGTGCATATTCCAGATGTGGTGCGTTTCCCAGATATGGTGTGTTTCCCGGGTGTGGTTTGTTTCCCGGGTGTGGTGCATTTCCCAGGTGTGGTGCATATTCCAGATGTGGTGTGTTTCCCAGGTGTGGTGCATATTCCAGGTGAGGTGCATTTCCCGGGTGTGGTGCATATTCCATGTGGTGTGTTTCCCGGGTGTGGTGCATTTCCCGGGTGTGGTGCGTTTCCCAGGTATGGTGCGTTTCCCAGGTGTGTTGCATATTCCAGATGTGGTGCGTTTCCCATGTATGGTGCATATTCCAGATGTCGTGCATTTCCCAGGTGTGGTGCATTTCCTACGTTCTGTGCATTTCCCAGGTGTGGTGCATATTCCAGATGTGGTGCATTTCCCAGGTGTGGTGCATATTCCAGGTGTGGTGCATTTCCCAGGTGTGGTGCATATTCCAGATGTGGTGTGTTTCCCGGTGTGGTGCATTTCCCGGGTGTGGTGCGTTTCCCAGGTATGGTGCATTTCCCAGGTGTGTTGCATATTCCAGATGTGGTGCATTTCCCAGGTGTGGTGCATTTCCTAGATATGGTGTGTTTCCCGGCTGTGGTGCGTTTCACAGGTATGATGTGTGGTGCATTTCCCAGGTGTGTGCATATTCCAGATGTGGTGTGTTTCCCAGTTGTGGTGCATTTCCCGGGTGTGGCGCGTTTCCCGGGTGTGGTGCGTTTCCCAGATATGGTGTGTTTCCCGGGTGTGGTTTGTTTCCCGGTGTGGTGCATTTCCCAGGTGTGGTGCATATTCCAGATGTGGTGTGTTTCCCAGGTGTGGTGCATTTCCTACGTTCTGTGCGTTTCCCATGTATGGTGCATTTCCCAGGTGTGGTGCATATTCCAGATGTGGTGTGTTTCCCAGATATGGTGCGTTTCCCGGGTGTGGTGTGTTTCCCAGGTATGGTGCATTTCCTACGTTCTGTGTTTCCCATGTATGGTGCATTTCCCAGGTGTGGTGCATTTCCCAGGTATGGTGCGTTTCCCAGGTGTGGTGCGTTTTGTGGTACTAGTTTCTTCAAGTCAGGGCAGCAGGTGTCAGCACTGATGTTACTCAGAAGCTCTCTGTATCAAAAGTCAGATTGATTCAAAAAACAAATTCTCTTACATTTGATGTAAAATAATGTTTGAAGAGAAAACTGTGGAGTAACAGCAAGTTAAAGATGTTTAAGAGGAGTGTCGGGTTAAACTGACTGAACACATTCACACTCGATCCCGATCGAGGAGGAGTAGCGTGGTGAAAATCCAGACAGAAGAAGAAGAATATAAAGGATGAGGAGTCATAAAGTCTGGACGTGTTGGTTAAAACTATTCATCTCAGTGTTTAAACATGTCTAACTGAATAAAAGCTCGTAACTCATCATAAACACAAAACAGAAACCACGTGATGATGTCAGCAGCTGTCCAAATGCTAACTGCTAACAGCTCGGCTAACTTCCTGATTTATCATAAATAATCATTTGCTATGAAGAGAAGATGTGCGGCGGTTTTTAACATTAAACACGACCATGATGTCACTTCCTGTTGTTTCCGTGAAAATCACCTTGCGTGTTTTGAAATAAAGACTGAAAAGTTGAAACGTTTTTATCCAGGAAATGAACTTTGTTTGATTATTTTTGCAGGATGTGAGATTAGAAAGTTTATTTTAAAATGTAATTATGTCTTGAATCTCTTTAACAGAATATAATACAGTTGTTTGTGTGAATATTTGTTCACTGTATTATCAGTAGAGTTATTGAGGGAAGCTAACCTGCGGCTGTTGACGATCTCTTTCAGATGTATTTTAACTCGACCATCTCCGACAGCACCAAGCTGCTGAAACCCGTCTTGGTTTTTGCCTTCGCCATCGCAGCGGCGCTGACGGGTCTGACCCAGATCACGCAGCATCGCAGCCATCCCATCGACGTGTACGTGGGCTTCCTCATCGGAGCCTTCATCGCTGCTTATCTGGTGAGATCTGAAACTCCTCATGGTAACAAACAGACCTGCTGTTTGAATCATTTTCTCACTAACTAACTTTGTACGTGTGTTTCAGTCCTGCAGAGTGAAGTCAGGTTTACAGTGAAATGCTTACTCCCTCAGCCTTTGTGTACATACAGCCCACATCACAATAGACCCGGTGCACTCATGTACACTGCATGTCATTTACAGAAAGTGGTCAGTGCACGTGGGAGCGTCAGCTGTTCAGCAGCGGTGGAAAACAAACTGAGTAACCCCGCCCCCTAAAAAAACCCAAAACTTTCAGGGTCTGAGAGGAAACCAAACTCATTAGCAGACAAGGGGAAACCGTTTCATCAGTTTAGGGTTTCAACATTTAAAGATGATTTTTCTTCTTCTTCAGGCTTTTCATGCCGTTGCCAACTTCAAGTCCTCTGATGACATCTCTTCAGTCCCGCCTCCCTTGCCCCCTAAGGAGGACCCTCTGCGAGCACTGACAGAGCGGGGACATGAGTCCGTCTACCACAAGGGCCCCGCCTCCGCCTCAGAGAGTAACGATGAGATAGCAGCAAATCCGGCCCCCATTGACCGGCTGGAGAGCCTGGGGCCCATGCAGAGGGAGAAGGACTCAATGGGGAGCCTGAAGAGGGCCAGCGTGGACGTGGAGCTGCTGGCTCCTCGCAGCCCTATGGGGAAGGAGACCATGCTGACCTTCAGTAACACACTGCCGAGAGCTAGCATGAATGTTAACGGGGTGCTGGGGGCAAACCCAGGACCGGAGGATCTCGTGCAGCGGTGCAGCCGGTGCAGCGGCGTCTGAAGGCTGTGCAGGTTCCCATGGACCCGATGCGTTCGCAGCAGCTGGTGTCAGAGTGGAAGCGAAGTCCATAGAGATGAGAGGCCTGAACGTCCGGGACGAGGTGGACCGTGAGGACGGCTCTGAGGGGGGCTCTGAGTTGGGCTCTGTGGGGACAGATGAGGGGGGGTCTCAGGTCCCCATCTACCAGCCCACAGTGCAGTCTGGGAGGGCAGCCTCTAGTCGCAACCCCACACCACCTCCTGGGGGCGCTAAAGCTGTGGCAACTCCCAGACCACCCCAGATCCCTGAAGCAGGACCCCCGCCGGTGTCCCCAAAGAGTGCCCTGACCCGGGCCAAGTGGCTCGCCATCCGAGAGAAAACGAGCGGAGAGGGGTCAGCCCGCGGTGCCACCAACCAGCCACGACTCATGCAGGTCATCGCCATGTCGAAGCAGCAGGGCCTCCTCCCCTCCTCCTCCTCGGGGGAGAAAACCTCTGAGACCACCTCCACCTGCTCCGGCACCTCCTCCACCACTGACTCTCCGCACTATCGCACACCCTCCGAGCAGCAGCGGGAGGGGTTGGGAATCATCACGGTGGATGCCCACGCCCCTCACCATCCTGTCGTACAGGCCCCACACCCTCCTCAGGTCCCGACCCTCGCAGGCAACGGTAACCCGTGGGAGTGGGCGGGGCGTCCAACGCTGGCGACCCGCGAGACACTTATGACCTCAACAGCTTGAACCGGGGAGACTCCGCCGCCCACGGAAGCAGCTTCAGGCCGCACCGATCCGCCTCGCCACGTGCCGCAATTGACCCCGACCTGGCCCTGCCCCCACCTCACCCCCAGGTGGAGATGTCAGCGGATACTCAGCGCAGGGAGATGGCCATGAGACGCAAGACGGCGCTAGTTCTGTTGGATCGAGAGATTCGTAACCAGACTGAACAGGAGAACTATTACAAGAGCTTGCAGGGACGAAGGTTCAAGGATTAGTCTCACACCTTTCAAAACAAAAGCCTTATTTGAAACTGGTCAGTAACAGCACAGGACCTGGAGCGCAGTGAGGACCATGATGCAATGCAGTTCTTGGGCTTCATGTGATGGAAAGTTTCCACCCATCAGGGTCAGGCTTGATTCTCTGTGGCTCAACACTCCGGATAGTTTTCTCTCAAAATAAAATGCATCTGTGTTTTAACAGACATCCAGATCTCCTGCAGGATCAGCCCTGTTCATTTGTCCGATGGTGCCCACCACAGAGTGGCACAGTGAAATTTATGGTAAGAAGAAGAATTCAATTTTAAGCATCTTTCATGCAACCCAAAGACACTTTACATACGGAAAACAAGCCAAAACTACACCCACAAAATGCTCGAGTCTTAGGAGTACATTTAAATACAGAAGCTGACTCACATGGTCACATTTTATAGGGAGTGGGTAGATACTGTAGGGTGGAGGGGATGGTGTAGGGTGGGGTGAAGCTGTGTAGGGTGGATGTTGTGCTGTAGGGTGGGAGTGATGCTGTAGGGTGGATGTTGTGCTGTAGGGTGGATGTGATGCTGTAGGGTGGGGTGATGCTGTGTAGGGTGGATGTTGTGCTGTAGGGTGGGGTGATGCTGTAGGGAGGATGTTGTGCTGTAGGGTGGGAGTGATGCTGTAGGGTGGATGTTGTGCTGTAGGGTGGATGTGATGCTGTAGGGTGGGGTGATGCTGTGTAGGGTGGATGTTGTGCTGTAGGGTGGGGTGATGCTGTAGGGTGGGAGTGATGCTGTAGGGTGGATGTTATGCTGTAGGGTGGATGTTGTGCTTTAGGGTGGGGGTGATGCTGTAGGGTGGGAGTGATGCTGTAGGGTGGATGTTATGCTGTAGGGTGGATGTTGTGCTTTAGGGTGGGGGTGATGCTGTAGGGTGGGAGTGATACTGTAGGGTGGATGTTGTGCTGTAGAGTGGGGGTGATGGTGTAGAGTGGATGTGATGCTGTAGGGTGGATGTTGTGCTGTAGAGTGGGGGTGATGGTGTAGAGTGGATGTGATGCTGTAGGGTGGGGGTGATGGTGTAGGGTGGATGTTATGTTGTAGGGTGTATGTTATGCTGTGGGGTGGGGGGGTAGTGTAGGGTGGGGGTGATGCTGTAAATTGGAGGTGATGCTGTAGGGTGTATGTTATGTTGTAGGGTGTATGTTATGCTGTAGGGTGGGGGTGATGCTGTAGGGTGGGGGTGATAGTGTAGGGTGGGGGTGATGCTGTAAATTGGGGGTGATGCTGTAGGGTGGATGTGGTGCTGTAGGGTGGGGATGATAGTGTAGGGTGGGGGTGATGCTGTAAATTGGGGGTGATGGTGTAGGGTGGAGGTGCTGTAGGGTGGATGTGATGCTGTAGGGTGGGGGTGATGCTGTAATTTGGGGTGATGGTGTAGGGTGGATGTTGTACTGTAGGGTGGGGGTGATAGTGTAGGGTGGAGGTGATGCTGTAGGGTGGATGTGCTGTAGGGTGGAGGTGATGCTGTAGGGTGGGGGTGATGCTATAGGGTGGATGTTGTGCTGTAGGGTGGGGGTGATGGTGTAGGGTTGGGGTGATGCTGTAGGGTGGATGTTGTGCTGTAGGGTGGATGTTATGCTGTAGGGTGGATGTTTTGCTGTAGGGTGGGGGTGATGGTGTAGGGTGGATGTTGTGCTGTAGGGTGGATGTTTTGCTGTAGGGTGGGGGTGATGGTGTAGGGTGGATGTGATGCTGTAGGGTGGGAGTGATGCTGTAGGGTGGGGGTGATGGTGTAGGATGGATGTTATGCTGTAGGGTGGGGGTGATGCTGTAAATTGGGGGTGATGGTGTAGGGTGGATGTTATGTTGTAGGATGTATGTTATGCTGTAGGGTGGGGGTGATGCTGTAGGGTGGGGGTGATGCTGTAAATTGGGGGTGATGCTGTAGGGTGGATGTTATGTTGTAGGGTGTATGTTATGCTGTAGGGTGGGGGTGATGCTGTAGGGTGGGGGTGATAGTGTAGGGTGGGGGTGATGCTGTAAATTGGGGGTGATGATGTAGGGTGGATGTGCTGTAGGGTGGGGGTGATGCTGTAGGGTGGGGGTGATAGTGTAGGGTGGGGGTGATGCTGTAATTTGGGGGTGATGGTGTAGGGTGGATGTTGTACTGTAGGGTGGGGGTGATAGTGTAGGGTGGAGGTGATGCTGTAGGGTGGATGTGCTGTAGGGTGGAGGTGATGCTGTAGGGTGGGGGTGATGCTGTAGGGTGGATGTTGTGCTGTAGGGTGGGGGTGATGGTGTAGGGTGGATGTTATGCTGTAGGGTGGATGTTGTGCTGTAGGGTGGATGTTATGCTGTAGGGTGGGGGTGATGCTGTAGGGTGGGGGTGATGGTGTAGGGTGGATGTTGTGCTGTAGGGTGGGGGTGATGGTGTAGGGTGGATGTTATGCTGTAGGGTGGATGTTGTGCTGTAGGGTGGGGGTGATGGTGTAGGGTGGATGTTGTGCTGTAGAGTGGATGTTGTGCTGTAGGGTGGGGGTGATGGTGTAGGGTGGATGTTATGCTGTAGGGTGGGGGTGATGGTGTAGGGTGGGGGTGATGCTGTAGGGTGGATGTTGTGCTGTAGGGTGGATGTTATGCTGTAGGGTGGATGTTTTGCTGTAGGGTGGGGGTGATGGTGTAGGGTGGGGGTGATAGTGTAGGGTGGGGGTGATGCTGTAAATTGGGGGTGATGATGTAGGGTGGATGTGCTGTAGGGTGGGGGTGATGCTGTAGGGTGGGGGTGATAGTGTAGGGTGGGGGTGATGCTGTAATTTGGGGGTGATGGTGTAGGGTGGATGTTGTACTGTAGGGTGGGGTGATAGTGTAGGGTGGAGGTGATGCTGTAGGGTGGATGTGCTGTAGGGTGGAGGTGATGCTGTAGGGTGGGGGTGATGCTGTAGGGTGGATGTTGTGCTGTAGGGTGGGGGTGATGGTGTAGGGTGGATGTTATGCTGTAGGGTGGATGTTGTGCTGTAGGGTGGATGTATGCTGTAGGGTGGAGGTGATGCTGTAGGGTGGGGGTGATGCTGTAGGGTGGATGTTGTGCTGTAGGGTGGGGGTGATGGTGTAGGGTGGATGTTATGCTGTAGGGTGGATGTTGTGCTGTAGGGTGGGGGTGATGGTGTAGGGTGGATGTTGTGCTGTAGAGTGGATGTTGTGCTGTAGGGTGGGGGTGATGGTGTAGGGTGGGGGTGATGGTGTAGGGTGGGGGTGATGCTGCAGGGTGGATGTTGTGCTGTAGGGTGGATGTTATGCTGTAGGGTGGATGTTTTGCTGTAGGGTGGGGGTGATGGTGTAGGGTGGATGTTGTGCTGTAGGGTGGATGTTGTGCTGTAGGGTGGGGGTGGTGGTGTAGGGTGGATGTTGTGCTGTAGGGTGGGGGTGATGCTGTAGGGTGGGGGTGGTGGTGTAGGGTGAGGGTGATGCTGTAGGGTGGATGTTGTGCTGTAGGGTGGGGGTGATGCTGTAGGGTGGAGGTGATGCTCTAGGGTGGATGTGCTGTAGGGTGGGGGTGATGCTCTAGGGTGGATGTGCTGTAGGGTGGAGGTGATGCTCTAGGGTGGATGTGCTGTAGGGTGGGGGTGATGGTGTAGGGTAGATGTGCTGTAGGGTGGGGGTGATGGTGTAGGGTGGATGTGCTTTAGGGTGGGGGTGGTGGTGTAGGGTGGATGTTGTGCTGTAGGGTGGGGGTGATAGTGTAGGGTGGAGGTGATGCTGTAGGGTGGATGTGATGTAGGGTGGGGGTGGTGGTGTAGGGTGGATGTTGTGCTGTAGGGTGGGGGTGATAGTGTAGGGTGGAGGTGATGCTGTAGGGTGGATGTGATGTAGGGTGGAGGTGATGCTGTAGGGTGGATGTTATGCTGTAGGGTGGATGTTGTGCTGTAGGGTGGGGGTGATGGTGTAGGGTGGGGGTGATGCTGTAGGGTGGAGGTGCTGTAGGGTGGGGGTGATGCTGTAGGGTGGGGGTGATAGTGTAGGGTGGATGTTGTGCTGTAGGGTGGGGGTGATGCTGTAGGGTGGAGGTGATGCTGTAGGGTGGATGTGATGTAGGGTGGAGGTGATGCTGTAGGGTGGATGTTATGCTGTAGGGTGGATGTTGTGCTGTAGGGTGGGGGTGATGGTGTAGGGTGGGGGTGATGCTGTAGGGTGGAGGTGCTGTAGGGTGGGGGTGATGCTGTAGGGTGGGGGTGATAGTGTAGGGTGGATGTTGTGCTGTAGGGTGGGGGTGATGCTGTAGGGTGGATGCGCTGTAGGGTGGATGTGCTGTAGGGTGGGGGTGATGCTGTAGGGTGGAGGTGATGCTGTAGGGTGGGGTGATGGGTAGGTGGATGTTGTGCTGTAGGGTGGGGGTGATGCTGTAGGTGGGGGTGATAGTGTAGGGTGGAGGTGATGCTGTAGGGTGGGGGTGATGCTGTAGGGTGGGGGTGATAGTGTAGGGTGGAGGTGATGCTGTAGGGTGGATGTTGTGCTGTAGGGTGGGGGTGATGCTGTAGGGTGGGGGTGATAGTGTAGGGTGGAGGTGATGCTGTAGGGTGGGGGTGATGCTGTAGGGTGGGGGTGATAGTGTAGGGTGGAGGTGATGCTGTAGGGTGGATGTTGTGCTGTAGGGTGGGGGTGATGCTGTAGGGTGGGGGTGATAGTGTAGGGTGGGGGTGATGCTGTAGGGTGGAGGTGATGGTGTAGGGTGGATGTGCTTTAGGGTGGGGGTGGTGGTGTAGGGTGGATGTTGTGCTGTAGGGTGGGGGTGATGCTGTAGGGTGGGGGTGATGCTGTAGGGTGGAGGTGCTGTAGGGTGGGGGTGATGCTGTAGGGTGGGGGTGATGGTGTAGGGTGGATGTTGTGCTGTAGGGTGGGGGTGATGCTGTAGGGTGGGGGTGATAGTGTAGGGTGGAGGTGATGCTGTAGGGTGGATGCGCTGTAGGGTGGGGGTGATGCTGTAGGGTGGAGGTGATGCTGTAGGGTGGGGGTGATGCTCTAGGGTGGGGGTGATGGTGTA